CGTTAGATAGCTGTGATTTGGCTTTAGTATTGAAGGACCCAGTTTTTCTCCATCTTTAGACAGAAGGTCAACAAGATAGAGAGTCATAAGAAGAATGCTCTGGTGGAGCTCTGCCAGGCCATTGGTATACCTGTCAGCTTGCTTAAGAGAAGAAATGTAACACCACATGTACTCACTATTAAATTGGAACTAACTGATGAGCACACATGTGCAGAGAGGCAATTCAAACTCAGTGGAAATCAAAAAGTGGGGATGGGGGGATGGGAGAGTCAAAAACCTACCTAATGGGTACATTGAACACTGTTTGGGTGATGGGCACACCTATAGCTGTGACTCAAGCATTTCAAAAGCAATCCGTGTAACCTAAAACATTTGTACCCCCTTAATATTTTGAAATTTTAAAAAAAGGGAAAAATGTTCAAGAGAAGCTGATTATAATGTTATTTATGTTTTGTCTTTCAAAGGCACACTGGAGCTGCAAGAGAAGGTGTTTACAACCTCTCCAAATCCTTAGCTTTGGAATGGGCCCATAGTGGAGTAAGGATCAATTGTGTTGCCCCTGTAGGTAAACATTCTACATTGAAACCTGTTGACAAATTGTGCTCTTCTGATTCCATTGGTGGTATTGATAGAAATATTTGTTAATATGCAAATATAGTACAAAAGATTGACTTTAAAACATAGATAAAATCAGAGAGTCTAATTTGCATTACAGAAATATTCTTTAATTTACCGTCAGATTGTCAAGAAGATAAACTTAACCCAGTGGTTCTCAATCCTGGCTTAGATATATTAGAATTATCTATGAAATGTTTAAACAATAGTGATGTGTGCGCTTTACCCCAAAGCATGGAGTCTAGGCATTTATATTTTAAAAGCAGCCTAGAAAATTCAAATGCACAGCGAAGGCTGAGAACCACTGCTTTAAGGAGTGAATTTTTCCAGATTTTTTCATTATTTCTTGGTAAATCATTAATCCTTTATTAGGAGAGAGAAACTTAAAGTCAGAGTTCTAGCAAGGAACTCCCAGTTAAAGAGCAACTAGAAGTCAAGAGAAAATTTCTCTGAATCATCATGTAAATGATGGGGGGAGGGGGAATCACAATATAGCCAACTTCAAAAACTATCATTTTTGTGAAATAAGCTACAGCCTAAGTTTTCTTGGTATTACATACTGGCCATGTACTCCAAGAGAAACATTAAATGAAATATCTCACTCATCCTGGACAACTCAGCTTGAATGTTACCTCTGTGATCTTTCCTGGTTGTTGCTGAGAGATACTAATCATCCCTCCATCTGAAACTCTATAAAATCTTTGGGTAGTATTTATAGATCTATCTATATAGTATCTATAGATATTGCTATCCATACTACTCAGTACGAACTAAACATGACTGATTTCATGCTTGAAGTTAGTAATCTCATCTCTAACAAAATTGCAGGCTCCTAGCCAGAAACTTCATATTTTCCTTCAATGCTCCACAGCTGGTATTACCTTACACATATTTTACTCAAATATTTATAAAATAGATTAAATATAGTTCCATTCTTAATGTTGACAGCTTTCAGTACTGGCCTCCAAAAGTGCATATCTTGAAAACCTTTAGTGGTATGTTAGTATTATAAGCATAATACTAATTCATGTTTGTTCTCCAGAGATTTTTTAAGTTTAGTGGCTGAACTTTAATATAATACTTCTGGACGATTTCATCCTCTTTAAATTAAAGGTTACAAATTATTTAATTGAAAACCAATATATTGCCCCAGTATCATTTGGAATAATCAATATAGCCAGATTTTCTCGTTTTACTTTCACTCCTCCTCTTTCCTGCCCTCCTCCCTATAGTAGTTTATTGTACTTATGAATCCATAACAAACAGCTTTATCCTGTGGTATACAGTTCTTGAGTAATGTTCCTGACTTTATAAGCCCTTGAAAGCTAATGAAAGCTAAATAAAAGAATTCTTAAACAATGAAAATGTTGGTTTATTTATATTGGATTCAAACGTTTTATTTGTGATTTCAATCCAGGTGAAAAGCTAAGAGAATATTGGATTGTCTAAGTCTCACATAGCCATAGCTCATTTCTCCCTTGTGAAGCAGAGAAGCCTAAGTGGGATAAAATAGACAGAGTCCCCTTGTCCCATTGTGTCTGTTTAAGTGCCTCTCTTATTTACTACTTATATTATTATGCTCTTCAGAAAGCAAGACTTTCATGAAAAAATTCAGGGCTTGGCTGGTTATTAAGGGAGAGGAGGTAACAAAATGAACATTCAGATAATTCATTTGTAGATGGTGGTTGACAGTATTTCTTTGACATATTGAGAAAAACTAATATTAGAACTGTTGACTTTTGTGTTTAACTTAAGTCACTAATGTTTGATATTGGTCAATAGACTGCCTTGATATCTTTATAATTAATATTTAATTTTATGTTTATTTTTGTTTCTGTTTAATTTTTGAACATAGGGAGTAATTTATTCCCAGACTGCAATGAACAACTACAGTGATTTGGGACAAGACCTTTTTGAAGGGTACTTTAAGAATATCCCAGCTAAACGACTTGGTGTTCCTGAGGAGGTAATGTATATTTCTAGCACTGATTGGAATTACTATGCTTTATACTTTGGAAATTTGTAACATTCAGTGTCCTTTTCATGTGGTGTAGCTGGCTAATAGAGATTATTTTTCTCACTGCCACCAAACCGTTTCTCCTGTTCTTTCTGGCTCTCAGGAACATCCTGGTTGTGCTTTGACTACTGAGAGCAATCTTTAATTAGGAGTGAATGTAGTGTGAATTAACAATAGCATGTTTTTGTTGTTTCATTGTACTTTTCAGCTACATTATTTTATTATATGGCATTTGTTGGTACATAGGGCCCTAAGCAAGTCAGACAATTAAGAAAGTTTCATTTGAAATTTCAGTAAGGAGATTTCAGGAAGATTGAAGTCCATAAAAATCAATAGCTTTCCAAAATGTCAGCAATATCAGTCTTAAAAAGTAATTTTTTTAAAAAAGGGATATCTTTTCCTCAATAATGAAAACTAAAATACCCAGCAGTAAACTTAGCCCTAAATAAAAAAGGAAATCACCTTCCACCTTAGTGCGGTAGGCAGTGTGTCGGTTTCATAAATGGAAAAGAAAACAAAAACTTTTTTACTGAAGAATGGAAGAAAGACCAATATAAATAGAAACATATTATATTCCTCAATTTCAGTTTTCTTGAAATTCAGGTTTACCCCATAAAAATTCTAGAAGAAAATGTAGGAAAAACTCTTCTGGACATTAGCCTAAGCAAAGAATTTATGACTAAAATCTCAAAAGCAAATACAGGAACAGCAAAAATAAATAAATGGGACTTGATTAAACTAAAAAGTTTCTACACAGCAAAGGAAATAATCAATAGGGTAAATAGGCAACCTACAGAATTGGGAGTAAATATTCCCAAACTATACATCTGACAAAGGACTAATATCTAGAATCTACAAAGAACTCAAACAAATCAGCAAGAAAAAAACAAATAACCCCATCAAAAAGTGGGTGAAAGACATGAATACATTTTTTTTCAAAAGAAGATAGACAAATGGCCAAGAAACATATGAAAATATGCTCAACATCACTAATCATCAGGAAATGCAAATTAAAACCACAGAGAGTAGAATGATGGTTACCAGAGGCTGGAAAGGGTAGTGGGGCGAGAGGATAAAGTTGAGATGCTTAATGGTTACAAAAATATAGTTAGATAGATAATTAGATAGAATGAACAATATTTGGTAGCACAACAAAGTGACTATAATCAACAAAAAGTTAGGGTATACTTTAAAATAACTAAAAGAGTGAAATTGGAATGTTCCTAATGCAAATAAATGATAAATCCCTGGGTAATGGATACCTCAATGTCCTTGATTTGATTAATTCACATTGTATGCCTGTATCAAAACACCACATGTACCCTATGAAGATATACAACTATTATATACCCATAATAATTAAAAATAGAAAAATAAAAAATAAATAGGCTTCCAACACTCTCCAGCAAAACTGCTGTGATATCAGGAAAACTTCATTTACCACCCTCCCCAATACCTACTGCAAACCTTCCACACTCCATCCACTTAATTCTTCACACTTCATACCTGAGCTCTAAGAAGTCTTCCCTGATCTCTGCCAAATGAAGTCTTCCTATTTTACTCTATCGTAATACCACTTACTTTTTTCCTCATGGCATCTATCATCACTGCAAATTTACATTTATTGGTATCATTGTTATTACATATATCATTATTAATTAGTGGTATCAATCAAGTCACTTAATAAATCAAATTAATAAAAATTTAAAAACAAAAGAGAAATATTTATTAATTCATTTAAAATAGTAGTAATAAAAGCATGATATGTTAACATAAATAACATTTTTAATTAAAAATAGCTACACTTTCAAAAACAAGAGAAAACAATTGTTTTACATTTATTTTACATTTTTACAGATCTCTTTAATAGGCTTAATAGGACACAGCTGGACTCTGACTTCAGCCTCTGCATTTATTCTGTTGCAATGTCATTTTGGCAAGAGCATATGAAGTAAATCTGGCTTCGTGCAAATATATAGTTGGAAAGGGAGGAGCATTTTAATAGCGTTTTTGGATAATTGTGGATATTCTTCTTTGATATTTAACAAATGGCAATTTCTTAAAGATTGGCTGCAATGTGGAATCCCATGGCAGTGAACTTTCTGTACTCTGTTGCATCAAAATCTTCCTCACGCTTTAACTGGATTTTTCACCTGTATATGATTTTGTAACACCAGGCATTGGTCTTTTAGGAATTATTCGCTCACCGAGTTATGCAGACCTTCTGAATGTTGGCATACAATTCGTTACACAGTACCGAAAGATCACATTTGTTAATATCTCCACTGATATCTTCAGCAAAGTCATTGAGTCTCATAGTGACAGGTGCAAGTTTTCCAAAATTCTAATTTTCACTCAAATATTATCATTAACAACAAATACCATCAGTTGTTTTCCTTTGAAGTGGCAGTCTCACTTTGTTTTTGAAAAAACGTGTGTCAAATACCTAAGTGTGTGTAACTGTAGTTTGTCAGTAATTCTTTCCAGTAAAAAATGGTATTCATGAAAAAAGTTCAGCTCTGCCTTCAGTGGCACATTCCTTTCCTTGAAACAACAATTACACTTCTCTGTGCATCAGAATAGCTTTATGTGTATATTTCCCGTTTCATCACACAGAATAGTAAAAAGATGTGAACTCCATGGTTGAGATTTAATACAATTAATATTTTTTGCTGCTTCGTCAAGGACATTCTAAAGTGAAACTGGCTTTTTCCCCCCTCAGGAGTCCTTGCCAGTGAAGAATGTGATGACTTGCTAGTATAATGACTGCTAATACAGTTTTGTGTTCCTGCTGTGGTTCATGCCAAGGCTCCAGCAATTTTTCCCATCATTTCTTTAGTACCATCAGTACCAATGTCAACAGACACAGTGAAAAAGACAAATAAGAACTTAGTACTTTTGACCTTGCAAATCCCTGAAAAGATCTTGGGGATGCCTAGCATTTGGCCTACTAGGCTTTGTCAACTGCTGATGTAAGCAGTTCCTGCAAAGAGTTTGCTTGTGACGGGCAGGGGAGAGAACATTGGCTGCCGTGAGATCAGAATCAGGAGAGAGTTTTGGCCCCTTCCTGATGTGTCTTAGAGTCTGTAGGTGGGCAGAACTTTCACACCAGGCCACTGGCTGCCTAGTTAGGAGTGAGTTGCCTTCTCTGAAGTGACAGTCCCTGGAGGGAGAGTCAGGAGTGTCAGAAAGTAGCCGTAGTTTCAAAAAGAACTGCCTAGCTTCAAGTCAATTGAGTATAGTTTAATGAGTGCCTAATCTATGGGCAAAACACTGTGTTAGGAGCTGGATGATGCAAAATCTCATTTTGGGAGAAGGGCTACATAAAGATTTCTTCATTCCATAAACATTTATCAAGTGTTTATTTTTTGCCAAACACTGTCTTTTGACAGTGTTGACATAAACACCACTCAATATTTGAAACAAAATTCAGCACAAAGCTGAATATATTACATATTTAAGTAAGGAGGAGGTGTGGCTGGTCAGGCATAGTCTCTCTAAGAAGAGCCAACTACTGATCTTTTTTTGTTTTCTGGGAGGGAGTGTGGTTTACTGGGATTTGCAGACTATCGGAGGTCATGGTTATTTGGGTGAGATGGTGGCTGTTGGGCTGGTGTTTCAGAAATGAGTTGATTGGAGTGAGTCTCTTCCTGACTGGCTGACTTTAACAAAATATGCTCATAGGGTGAGTCGTTACGGATTGATTAAACAGGTTTAAACCAGCTTCGATGGTTACTTTTTACCATGGCTCAGTACAATCTGCCTTTTCCCAGCAATGTGGGAACTTTTAAGTTATTAGTTCCATACGAGGTCTGTCTAATAGAAATATAGTAATAGCCACTAATGTAGTTTTAAACTTTCTAGGAGCCACATTAAGAAAAGTAAAAAGAGGTGAAATTAATTTTAATATATATTTGACTTAACCCAATATATCCAAAACATCACCATTTCAACATGTAATCAACATAAAAATTATAAATAAGATATTTTACATTCTTTTTTCCATACTAAGTCTTCCAAATCTGGTGTGTGTACACTTACAGCACATCTCAATTTGGACCAGCCGCGTTGGAAGTGTTTTAGTAGGCTCATATGGCTAGCAGCCTCATTTTAGTGTGGTTCTCTACAATCTGCTTGGGAGAAGGCTGTGACTGCCCTCCAGGCTCTCAGAGTCTCAAAGAGCCATAGTCCTATAAACACAAATGCAAGCGCTTTATATAGGGCCAGGACTGGGATGAAGCTAGCAAGGTGTGGGCACAAAATTTAAGGGCATGCTCACCCTCAGGGGCGACTCTGTAAACCTGAGAGTGGAAACCTCCTTAAATCTTGCACCCTAGGAACCTCGTTTGCCTCACCCCAGTCCTGGCTCTGCCTGGGGGCCTTTTAAAATAGCAGATTCTAGGGCTCCAGCCCAGACTTTACAATTCCTATGATCCTAGTAGGATCTAGAAATCTGGAGTTTCAGTAAGCTTCCCTAGGGATTCTAATGCAGGTGTTTAGGATCATCACCCTTTGGGAAACTCTGCTTCTGCCAATAGCCTCAGATAATAGTTCCTTTATAGTCAGTGAAATAATTTCTTTCTGCTTGGTTTTGGGAGTAGATGTTGCTGAACTCATCAGTTCAGTATCTGAGTTTTTAGGGGATGCAGTAGTTCCTCTTGTAGAGACCTCCTGTAGAATGTGTTGCTGGGCTTTTGGTCTGACAGGAGCAGAGACTGAACAAACCAGAATGCCAATTTATTGCTGCACAGACACAATGACCGTTTCATAAAGGCATGTGATAGTGATGGAAAATGGGGTTGCGGTGGACAATAAAAGACGGGGAAGGAACTGAATAGTTTGAAATGGGAAAGCAGAGATGAAGCACTGAGCTCACTTTTGGCTTCTTCACATGGTAGAGCTTGTCTGACACAATCTAAGGCTCCTTCATGTCTTGCCACCTTTTTCCCATTCACTTACCTGATTTCAGTGATGCTCAGGCAGACAAAGGATGTTGTGTCAGATTATGGCGCACACACACTGTAGGATTCATGTTACAATCACGTGCTTTGAGATATGTATATTAGGGAATGCGAAACAGCTACAAGTGGGGAGGATTTGCTTTTATGTATGCTCGTATGGGTTTCTGCTTCCAGATCTCCCCCCTGGTGTGCTTCCTGCTGTCTCCTGCAGCTTCCTTTATCACTGGACAGTTGGTGGATGTGGATGGGGGCCAGGCTCTCTACACCCATTCATATGAGATACCAGGTGAGCAATGAAGAAATGAGTAGTCACTGGCTTTATTCTTTTTCATGTTCAGGTGTTCAAAATTTCTTAAGTAGTTTCTCTTATAGAACATCAAAATGTGCAAAATGCTTTTGTATTCATGATATGATTTTTAAAGGAAATGTTCCTAATCACAAAAAATATCTAAATGTCTTTATTATATTACTTAGCTGTGTATAGCTAAAAAAAGTCTTGTGCATGCATAGGTTGGTAGAATTTGAACCCTGGAAAATATTCTCAGTATGAATGTATATGTACAAGAAGGAGATAGAAACGAGGTAAGAGGCTGCTATATTTTTAAGGTTTAATTCATTTTTATTCCTCTAAAAAGTGGCTTACATATCTGAGCAGAAGAATCAGATCTGCTAGGTGGGGAGGGGAGGTATGGTGCTATTTGGCATTCTCTTTGGGATATATATTGAAAGAAACCACATGAAATTGCTGTGTTTATCATTTTTGATGTACAAAAACAGTAGTTGTATAAGTTCCAACAGATACTGATATTACAGACAAATGTCAGTGTGTGAGTGCATGTGTGTGTATCTCATGACTAGAGCATAGAACTTTGGGGTTGGAAGGGTCCTAAAAAATCAGATAGTCCAATACCCTAATTTTATAAATGACAAAACAATCCACAGAAGTAAAAATGTATGTCCAAGCTAAAAACTCTAAATCATTCCAAGAATGTAGAAAAGGATATAAAATACAAATGTAGTTGAACTTCTCTTGCTAAAGATAATTGATTAAGTGGCTACTAGCAAACTGACATAAGATTTATGTAACCCAGCTGTATTTGAATTTCTTATTAGGGACTGAGGTTCAACCTACAGATTTAAAACCTTTTTTTGCATTAATAAATGATTGGTATATCTGAGAAGGGGAAAAACCTCCAAGTGTTTACTCTCTGCTCTCCCACCACAACAACCATCACACAGAAAACTTCTGTGACCAAATGTGTGGGGATTTTCCCCCACACACCAAGCAAACAAACAGTTCTGCAGCAGACACCAGCTGGCTGCCCTCTAATTCAGCTCTGATGCTATCTATTAATACCTGGAGATAGCATGAGATCCCACAGGTGAGGGCTCTGTCCCACAAGAACTGCCTCCCCCCACTCACCCAGACACCAGTCACAAGCTGGGCCTCTGGAACTTCTGACCAACCAACTCCAAGCTGGGGTTCCCACAACTCCCTCTTTGGGTTCCATTCATTTGCCAGAGCAGATCGCAGAACTCAGGGAAACCCTTAGGTTTACTGGTTTGTTATAAAGGAAATGCAAAGGATACAGATGAAGAGATGCATAGAGCAAGGTATGTAAGAAGGGGCACAGAGCTCCCATGCCCTCCCCCAGCTCACCACCCTCCAGTAATCTCCATGTGCTATCTGGAAGCTCTCAGAACCCAGTGCTCTTGGATTTTTATGGAGGCGTTATTACATAGGCACCATTGATTAAATAAACCATTGGCCATTGTTAATCAACTTAACCTTCATCCCCTCTCCCCTTCCTGGAGGTAGGAGGGGATGAAGTCCCAACCCTCTAATCACACCTTTGTCTTTCTGGTGATCAGCCCCCATGGTAAAGCTACCTAGGGGCTGCCAGCTGTAAGTCAATCATTAGCATACAAAAACACATTACTTTGGAGAATCTAAGGATTTTAGGAGTTGTATGCCACCAAACAAGGTCGAAGACCAAATATATATTTAATAGTATCACAGTAGAACTTTAATTTTACTTATTCTTTCTCCCTCCCATTTATATTTCTTTACTAATAACATCAATGTGGTGATATGCATAGGATACTATAGTTTTTTTTTTTTGAGACAGAGTCTCACTGTGTTGCCCGGGCTAGAGTGCCGTGGCGTCAGCCTAGCTCACAGCAACCTCAAACTCCTGGGCTCAAGCGATCCTCCTGCCTCAGCCTCCCGAGTAGCTGGGACTACAGGCATGCACCACCATGCCCGGCTAATTTTTTGTATATATTTTTAGTTGTCCGATTAATTTCTTTCTATTTTTAGTAGAGACGGGGTCTCGCTCTTGCTCAGGCTGGTTTCGAACTCCTGAGCTCAAACAATCCACCCGCCTCGGCCTCCCAGAGTGCTAGGATTACAGGCGTGAGCCACCGCGCCCGGCCTGATCCTATAGTTTTAATTATCTCAGTTGGAGAGATAGCAATACCTACATGGCATGCAATATTGTTTTCTGAAAAGATTCAAAGCAGTGTGTAGAGGGAGAGATACTTTCCACTTCTTTTACTGGTAGACTCGAATCACCATTTGTTACGGTGGGTTGTGTTGGTTTTTCTTTAGAAAGGGAAAGAAATTCCAAACGTCTGCTTCACCAGGCTTCCAATGAAATGATTTTCTTTTGTACTTCTAATGCTGTTTTTTTAAATCAGTACAAAATATATTTTTTTAAGTTTTTGAGGAAAGCAACTACATCTATCTTTTAAGAATATGCTCCCCACACACCGCCAAATAATGGGTGGGAGTATTCAGCCTTCCAGCGTGGTATTTTTTTTAAGATTTCCAGTTCCAGCGCAAGAATGCCTGGGATGGAAACCTGGCTCTGCCCTTGTTAGCTGTATGATCTTGGGAAAGTTAATTTCTGTAAACCCCCCTTTTCTATAATGTGGGGACACACCATAGTATTTATATCACAGAGCTGTTGGGAGGATTAAATTAGATAATGCACATTTAAAGCCCTGTGTCAAACAGGATGCTTTTAGTCCCAACTCAAACTGGCCTAACCAATAAAGGTATGCACTGGCTCACGTAACTGAAAGATAGATTTTCTCAGTAGCTCAGTGATTTTCTGCTCTTGCCTCTGGTTTTGCTTCCACCATGTTGGCCGTATCTTAAGGCTGGCTCTCCTGGTTTCAGGATGGCTGCCTGCTGCTCCTAAGGCCGCATCCTTCTTTGTTCCAGCTAGACAGAGGGAGAGAAAGAGACAAAGGACTTTGTTCCAGAAATTCTAACGAAATTCTGAGATCCACTCTGTTTTAGACCAGGTTATGTAAATGTCACCCTCAACTAATAACCACAGCCAGGGAAACGGAGTGCACTGACCGACTTAGCTTAGCTTGCATGCCCAAGCCCTGGGGTCAGGGTTCCCCAGAAACTTTGTGGATTCTCACGTGGAAACAGAGGCTGTTGGAAGGAGGATATGGGGGACCAGATGCTGAGGAAGCAACTTTCAGTGCCTGGTAGAAAGTGAGCACTTTATTTTAAAATTATTATTAAGGAGACACTATGGAATATCTATAGTATGCCAAGCACTGTACTTATGGTGTCACTTTTAACCCTCACAATTTTAAAAGGTAGATCTTGTCATATCCTTTAATAGAGGAGAAAACTGAGACTCAGGAATAGTAATGTCCCCAAATTCAGGGAAGCTAGTGAATGGCAGACCTGGGATTCAAATCCAGGTCTTCTCTCAAACAATTGTCCAAAGGATTTCTTTTTTGTGTGCTGAGAAAATGGATGAACCAGGGACAATGGCAAGTGGGTTTGGTGGAAACTAAGAGGACAAAATGAGGTTAACAGATGTGCAAGTGACATAGGCTCTCCAATTATTTAACAGATCATGACAACTGGCCAGTGGGCACAGGGGACCTCACTGTTGTCAAAAGGATGAAAGAGTCTTTTAAGCACAAAGCTAAGCTCTAAGCTGAGGAAACCAGGAGGTGTCCTTTATCCCTGAGTGCCTTAACATCTGGAGAATGCACTTCTGTACTTTTTAAGAGCTTGTAATTTGTATGGAAAAAAAACAGTTCTGCTTTTTAAATGTTACAATGATATCTAGGCAAAAATTATTCCTGAAATAAATGCACTTTTATGTCTCAACCAATGTCTTTATAACCTATGATTTAAAAAAATGTTAAGTAACAGAAGTTAACATATTTAAATGATTTTACTTTTTATTTCTATGAAAGGTATTTGAAAAACGAAATAATTTGAAATCAATAATAATTAAGGAGATCATGAGCTCCCAGAAGGTTTTGTTATTTAATTGTAAAGGTAGAAAATAAATCTTAATTGTGGCATAATTGTGATTATTACAACTAGGATTATACAGTGACTTACCTTTGGTGGCAAATACTTCTGGATCAATAAAGCCTTATGGTAATTGTTGATATGTAATTTGTTTTGTTCATGAAGTCAAATTTGTATACCCTCTCAATACAAAGAAAAACAAAGTTATAGGTTGTGGTTTTTAAAATTTTTTTGCAATGCTTGATTTGTGTCGTGATTTCCTATCGAAAAATGTTCCTTTTTCCTCCATGTATCTCCTTTTGTATGCAAAAACAAAATTAAAATTAAATTTTATGCAAATATATTGGGGTTCAATATCCTGCCTTCATTTCATCCTGTCTGGCAGTTAGACCCTTATTTATGAAATGTCATTAACAAATTGCATGTGTTCATTCTTTGACTTAATCAACTGAACCTCTTTCAAATGACTGAGAAGTAGCTATTTCCCCTTTCCTGATCGTGACACTCACCTTAAGTCTCTACAGTGTTGACATCTGTTTATTTCTGATTTAGACATGGAGCCTGCCCTGCATAGCACTAAACTTAGCTACCACTCCGTGTTAGAATGTCTTAAACTATCACTGGGCAGTGATCATTATCTGTATTCTAGAATCATAAGTCTAGGCTCCAGGACTCGTGTACACATCATAACAGTGTCCTGTCGATAATATTCTTGTGTTACTACACTTAGTAAATTTTGCTATCGAGTGACTATTCCTGAATAGGCTTAATCATTCACACAACTCATTATTTTGAGACCCTACTATGTGCTCATCATTATGCTAGGAGTCAGACATGCAATGGTGACCAAAAAAATACACATGGATCTTGCCCTCCTTGAGTTTACAATCGACAGTGAGAGAGCAGGCGCATGCGTGCAAGCCAAACATGAATGAAACCGCACCCATAAATTTAAAATTCCCAAAATGTGCTAAGTGCCACAAAGGATA